TATGAAACGCCACTTTCACGTCAGACGACACTCCCCAGGCAGCTGCTGCGAGCTGGGCCGGGTTGGGCCGTGTCCCTGGCTTCCTGTCCAGGCGGCCCATGCAGGTCATTACAGGAGACCCACCATTTCACTTAATCCACTCAGCGCAGGTGGGGACCTTCTGCAAGCGCCACTCGGACATTTACAGCATCACTCCTGGGCCACACAAAACCACCCCTTAAAAATGAGCTGCTCGTGTGGGCCAGGCATTGACCTACCTCACCCGATGCCTTGGCAGGGCCAGGCCACATGATTTTGCGGGTCTCACATGGCCCGGGGCCAGGACGTACCCCATCCCTGGCTTAGAGCTACGCATGCCAAGGACACGGAGACACTGAGCCATGTTCCTGCTTCGCTCACTGTCCACTCGGCCGTTTCCCATCTTCCCGGACAGACGGCCCCTGTCAGACACAGCCCGCAGCACAGGAGCCCGAGCAGGACAGAGGGCATCACGGCCATGGCCCTGAGCAGACTGCCCTCCTGACAATGACCACCTCAGGAGTTAAACAGATCCAGGCGGAGGTCTCCACACGGGCGCTGAGGCCTCTCAGCAGAGACCTCGATCACTGCCTCCTCCACCGGCAGCCACAGGGCCCGGCTACCCAGCGCACCCACGTGACTGCGTTTCCTTTGTTCACATCAATAGCCTTTAAAATGGAATCAAGCCCACCGGCTGGCTCAGGGGCTGAGTGTCAACCTAGGAACCAGGAGGTCACGGTTCAATTCCCAGTCAGGGCACAGGCCTGGGTTGCAGGCTCGATCCCCAGTGTGGGGCGTGCAGGAGGCAGCCGATCCACAATTCTTCTCACCACTGATGTCTCTGTCTCTATCCCTCTTCCTTCCTCTCTGAAATCAATAAAAATATTACAAATAATAAGGTGAGATCAAGATGCTTTCTTTCCCTGATGAGATTCGCACACTCAGCAGGGCTGCTTGTCTGACTGTAACCTTTGGCGGACGTTGGCCTGGGAGGGGTGGACAGCCTGGGAGCGCGGCCCGAGTGGGGCTCAGAGGGGCCTCTTTGTCTCCAGGTGTGGCCATAGGTCACGCGGGGACAGGGTCGTTTTGGGTCTTTGTCATCTGACGTGTGCGGCCGGTGGCTAACGCAGCAGCAACACGAAGGCGTGTGAGATGGCGCCGCCGCGATAAAGACCCCGTTTCAGCAGCACTTCCCTCCGCGGGAGCGAGGTCAGGGGTGGCCATGAACAGGCACGCCCTCCCGCCCTCCCACCTCCCCCCACAGAAAAGGGGGCCGGTAGCTCAGTCTCTCCAACCAAAAACAAGCCACGGAAACAGCACTGACCACCGCAGACCTCTCCTCCTGGGAGGCCGCTGCCTGGATGAGGAGCATGGGTTTCCGCGCTGGATTTGTAAATAACATCAGAACAGAATGGCCCGGATTTCTTTAGAGTAGTTTCTATGCCTCATGATGTCCATCGGAGACATTCCTTTCATCCTGTGGGGCATTCTGCCTCGTCTGAGGATAATGTGTGACACAGCCCGGCTAAACCCTAGCCTTACACGCACGGGCCACTCGCGGCCGCAGGGGAGCCTGCAGGGGTCCAGGTCCAGAAATCAGGGTTAAAGTGGAGCACGGAGAACTCTGGGAAAGCGGCCCCATGGCCCTCGATGTTTTTTTTAATTTTTTAAATATATTTTTACTGATTTCAGAGATGAAGGGAGAGGGAGAGGGAGAGAAACAGCAATGATGAGAGAACATCATGGATCAGCTGCATCCTGGGGATCAAGCCCGCACCCCAGGCATGTGCCCTTGACCGGAATTGAACCTGGAACCCTCCAGTCCGCAGGCCAACACTCTATCCACTGAGCCAAACCAGCCGGGGCTGGCCCTATACCTTTACAAAGAGGATCTATTCTGTTTAAAAAGCTTGAATTACAGTACAATCTGGCACATCGTATTGTTTAAATATTCCCTAGAGTTACAAGACGGGGAGGAGAGGCGGCTGAGGGAGACGGAAGGGACACCTGTCTCCGGGCACAGCCTGCGTCTCTCCGATGGGCCTGGTCGCGCGTGAGGCAGGCACCACACACAACACAGAGCGCTGGAGGCCGAGGACGCCTGGATCCTGGAGGCGCCTGGGAGAACGCGGAGCAACACCTGAACTGCTCGCACCCAGCCCGCGGCCCCACGCCTCACTCACTCCCGTGCCCGTGGGCGGCAAGGGTGGCCACCCTCTTTAGAAGGCTCTCCATTATACCACAGGCTCGCGCCAAAGTGTGTCCTTTGCTGCCCACGAGATGCCCGAGGCACCTTCGCACGAACCCCCGTGCTGCTGCCACGGGCTTGCCTGTGCGTCTTGTGATGCCCCCGACCACGGAGTGACAGCGATAGAAACTGGTGTGGCCTTGGCGTTTGCAAAGATTGAATCGTGCACGTGGTGGCGGGCTCAGGGCATCGGAAACTGTCAAAATGCGCATCCCGGGGCCGAGCGACGCGCTGTGCGTGACCGCGACCTGCCCCTGGTCTGGAATACAAACCTGGCGTTTTAGTAACTGTGTCATTAACTCCTCTCACTCCTTTACCTACAAGTAAAGAGACACACTGTCATTTTCAAGAGCATGGATTTGGGAATAAGTTTGAGAAAATGTCAAATGGAAGCAGTTTTCTTGCTCTGGATTTCTTGTGTGTACAGTCAGCTGTCTCCTCCGTATCCATGGTAACCCCTGTGTTCCCAGCAGAATGTCTGCTGGGAACCAGGGCGGCCTAGCACGTGTGTTTGCGTTTCTGTGCTACAACAGAGAGCCTTGCAAATGAGGGTGGGTTCGTCCACCTCTGACTCCTGTTTGGGACATGCTGCCCGCCCCCCACCCTGCCCCCCAACCCAAAGGTTAACAAAATAGCTAAGATTTCATAACTCCCCTTAACTTAGGCATCCCCACCGCATCCATGAACCTGCAAGTGAATGTTAAATACCGCCAAAGTATGTCTTCTGCAGAAGGTTTAATTTGGTCTATCAAGTTACACTTAGCTCAGAATCTCTTAGCGTTTCTAGTTTTGTATCAAACTACAAATCATTATTTTTAAAAGTCTGTCTACTTCCATTTCTGTGAGAGAGAAAGGCCAGGAAAAGTGCCCTAAGGATCCCTAACTGCCGGACTCTAAGCTCCAGGAAAGGAGCACTGAGGGGTGGGCTCCGTCACACTCCCTAACCCTTCTCGATGGTGGTTGGCACTCAATGTGCGTAGAATCGAAGAAGGTGGGGAACCTGGAAGGTGAGCTCTCATCACGTCTGACCCAGAATTATGACTCACATTTGTAAATATGCAAATTTGTGTGCGATTAAGGCATCATTTCCATGTTAATGGCTTTTGTAATTTCAAAGGTAGAACCAGTGTCAAGAACACATAAACTCGTATTCCACCACAAAACAGCTTGTGGCCTTTACACTCACAGGGTCTGGTTTAATGTAAATATAGTACGTGGTGACGTCTGTCCCTTTTCATTAAAAGATACATTTTCCAAAAACATACATTGTCTTCCTTTTACCTCGCCATGCTCTTCTTCAACCAAATCGCTTTTCTCTTTGGGTGAACGTGTGATTCACAGATCGTAACATCTGCGTTTGCCCTCGGCCTCTGCCTCCGTAGCCTCACACACGTCCTGCACACACGTGCACACAGGCCCGCAAGGGAAGCACGGAGGGTCGGGGGCTGGCATCACCCGGGACTGGTGCCTCACGCCCCATGCCAGCCTGGTGGCGCCTGCGTTCTGCTCTGCACGCGGGAGGCCTGTCCGCCGCCTCCTCCCCGTGGACTTACTCTTACAGACGGGCGACTTCCCGGTCCACTTGAGATCGGCCTTGCACGTCCTGTGCTCAGAGCCGCCGGCCAGGAAGAAGCCCGGGTGGCAGGTGTAGACGAGCGTGTAGCCGAAGGCGGGGAGTTCGATGGCTCGCACGTCCGCGTGGGCCGGCGTCTCAGGCTGTCGGCAGGCGTGAGCTGGAACGGGATGAGTTCCGTTAGGACACGGGGACCCTGGCTCGTGAGGAAGGGAACATGCGTCTAGAGAAATGCAGAAGTAGGGCACCCGTTTGGGAATGGCCACGCAGTCACTTTACAATTAAAACTGTGAACACGGTATCCCCCGAAATACCAATAATATCCCGTCTCCCTCTGCGCTTCCAGCAGAATGAAGGCGGGGTGCCTGCTCCCGCCTGCCTCCCCCTCCTCCTCTCCGTCCCCGTCTCACTCTCTGCTCTCTTTTTCTCTGTCTCCCCACATAAAGTAGGCTTACAGTTGTGAGCATGCAAAACACCATTTCCTTTGGATTGTTATTAATTAGTGTGTCTTTTCCATATAAACAACTGTAGACCTACTTATGCCAACTGCCGTACACACATATGAATATCTCCCTTCTACAGATGCATGTGTGATTACTACGTGTAGGAAATTAGACTAGAAACCAAAGCTTTGAAATACACTGATCACGTCTCGTTACCATTAAGATAGACTATGTTAAATTTCCTTAAAAGACCAGTGCTATGAACAAAACACAAACAGATGGACACGAGTGTAGACATGCCTTGATTTTTGTCTGAAGGCAACTAGCAAATTTTCTATTTAGTTAAATAAAAAAATAACTTTGGCCCGGCGAGTGTGGCTCAGTAGCTGAGCATCGACCCATGAACCAGGAGGTCATGGGTGGATTCCAGTCAGGGCACATGCCTGGGTTGCAGGCTCCATCCCCAGTGTGGGGTGTGCAGGAGGCAGCCCATCCATGATTCTCTCTCATCACTGATGCTTCTATGTGTCTCTCCCTCTCCCTTCCTCTTTGAAATAAATAATTACACACACACACACACATTTTTAAAAAAACACACTTATATAAACATTCCTGTCATTTATGGGGCATATTCCCTCAGCAGTTTGCCCCTTGCCCAGGGGAAGGAACCCTAGTAGGAGCCATAGAGTGGCGCCAGCAGGCCCGCCTTCCCTCTGTGAGGTCACTACAACGCTGTCCATTGGAGGGAGGGAGAGGCGGCTCCTCAGACCGCAGGTGACCCCGACCTGTCCGCCTCCGGCCACCCAGCCCCGGGGTCTCACTCAGCAGGGCTGGCCAAACCCCCAGGAAACGCTGCCGCCCCTGGTCCCAGTGAGTCAAACTTGGAGAACCCTGGTGTGGGAGTGGCAGACACTCAAACGGACACGAGGAGCCCCCCAGTGTCCCCCGAAGCTGAGCACCTCCCGGCATCGGGGCTGAGGCCGGGGCCCACTTACGGATGCACTCGGTCTGGATGCCGCTCCACGTCAGGTCGGCGAGGCAGGTGCGCGTGGTGGAGCCCTGCACGTGGTAGCCCTTCCTGCACCTGAAGAACACGCTGCTGCCCACCTGCCGGGAGACGGGCG